GTTTTCAAGGTTTATTCTTCAATTACTGAAAAGTTTTTAAAAGTAAAACATATTGTTACTCTCCAGGATCCCAGTTAATCCAGATCCTCCTCGGTGGGCTTTATCAAATACCACCCTCACCTTCCTGAATCTTTTGCTGAATCTCCTATAAAGTTTTGTCACAGAACCTCAGATTTTTCATAAGGTTTTGTGTACCATGCCATGCCTGTGAATTGCTCTCTTTGCTTTGTTTTTATTATTTTTTTTTGGTAAGAAGTAGCCAGCAAGTATCTTTCTTTGCTTTAGAGATGTAAACTGCTTTGTATTTTCAGATTAACTTTCAAGAATGTTGAAAATGCTTTGCTCGCTCTTCTTTTCTCGCTTCCTCCCTCTCAGGACCTATAAATGGCACCGCCCAGCCCAATGGACAGATGCCCCAGGCTGCACATTCTGTCAGTGCTGTTCTGCAAGAGGCCCAGCGACATGCTGAAACGTCAAAGGTAAAACCAGCAAGCAGCTGATATACATTCCATCAGCCCATGTTTCCAAAGCCCATGTTCTCAACCATTCGCATTGTTCCAATAACTGCTCTTTTAAAAAGCCGGGTGCAGTAGCTCACACCTGTAATCCCAGAACTTTGGGAGGCTGAGGCAGGAGGATTGCTTGAGCTTCAGTTCGAGACCAGACTGGGCAATATAGAGAGAGCTTGTCTCTACTAGAAAAAAAAAAAAAAAAAATTAGCCAGGTGTGGTGGCATGCACCTGTAATCCCAGCTACTGGGGAGGCTGAGGTGTTTGACTGGCTTGAGCCCAGGAGATCAAGGCGGCAGTGATCTGTGATCACGCCACTGCATCCAGCCTGGGTGACAGAGTAAGATCCAGTCAAATAAATAAATAAATAGAAAATGTAGTTCCAACAACTGAGACATTACTACAATTTAATTTAGTTCATTGCTTGATATTTGTAATCTTAAAGTTACATATGCTAGAATCAAAAGTTAAAACCAGCTATCATCACACTGCCTAGGAAAAACGTAAGAATTTCCTTAACACTCTGAAGTAAATTAGCTACTTTTACTTTGACCAAAGTGGTTTTCTTGGTTTAGTCAAGTGATCTTAGCCCTCTCTGATAGTAGCACATCCAAGTTTTAAACGCTTGGGATTTTACTTGCCTTTTTTGAGTAAAATAGGGCAACTAGTAGTCTGAAGCCCTATATGAAGCGTTAACTGGCCCCCAAAATCAGATTAGAAGACTGTTAAAAGAGTTACACTGTAAATAGGGCTGGGCACAGTGGTGAGCACCTGTAGTCCCAACTACTTGGGATGCTGAGGCGGGAAGATCACTTGAGCCCAGGAGTTCAAGGCTGCAGTTGAGTTCTGGTTGCACCACTACACTGCAGCCTGGGTGACAGATAAAGACCCTGTTTCAAAAAAAAGAAAAAAGACAAAAAAGGGTTTCACTAAAAATGTGCATTTTCTATTTTCCCCATTAGTGTCCTTCCTACATACATCCCCAGGTGACGGAGGAGAAAATACATTGTAAAGTAATAGCCAAATTGGTATAACATTCTCCATAAAATTTTTCAACCAAATAGATCAATGAGGATTCCTTTAAATCTATCTTAAAATCATAGCTAATAATTATGATTTAGTTACTAATTTAGTTCAAAACTTCTCAGCTGACTGTATAAATTCTGTTGAATATTTCTCATGTGTGAGTCAAAACAACCTTAAATAACTGTGACAACAGCATGTCACCCAGCTAGGACAGGCAGGGTGCTTCACTTTAGCAATTTTTCACTTCTTTTGCCCCTTCATTTTGTCCATCAGCCAGTCATGAAAACAACTAAATCTTGGTATTTATTGAATTTCTTATAATTTTGACAATCACTGCAGGAAAGTTGTATTTCTTTAATGTTCTCATTATTTTCTCAAGCCTGACAATCTCCTCATGCAATGTGCTTTCAGCTATTATTATTTTCATTATTTCTATAATGCCAGTTGAAGGAAAGCATTTAAAAATGCTGAAAGAAATAAAAGAATCCCAGACTAGAAATCACTTAACTATATGTGAACATCAATACCCAAGCTGCCTGTTCAGAAATTTAAATAAAAAGAAAAAATACATCACCAGTTAAATAGCTTATCATGCGAAGTAAATAAACTAAATAAAATAGAAACTAAATCAGAAGGCACTTTATTAGAAAAAAATTCCAAATTTAATCTTCAATGGTAAGAGGCTACTAAGCAGAGAATGAAATAAACTGGAACCCTGATAAACTGTAAATGAAATGATAATTATCACTAAAATGGATTCAATCCAGTTGCCTGGGGATGTTTCATTATGTAAATTATTATTATCTATTCCAACATTGGCAGAGGAAGGGCTATGCATCTATTAGACTTAGGCCAAATTTGGCGTGCTGGTTTCTACCAATAGCACATGCTGGTGATATTACTTTTCAGAACTCACATATTTATCTCATTTGATCTCATCACAACCTGAGACACAAGTCATAATAAGGACTATGGGGCTAATTTTATATCCAGTGAACCAGCCAACTTTCATGCAGTTGAGAAATGGTAAACTGTCCAGACATGGTGGCTCATGCCTATAATTCCATCACTTTGGGAGGCTGAGGCGGGCAGAGCACCTGAATCCAGGAGTTGGAGACCAGAGTGGCCAATATGGTGAAACCCCGTCTGTACAAAAAAATACAAAAATTAGCTGGGGCTGTTGGCACACAGCTAATCGGGAGGCTGAGGCATGAGGATTGCTTGAACTCGGAAGGTGGAGGTTGCAGTGAGGGGAGATCCTGCCACTGCACTCCAGCCTTGGTGACAGAACGAGACTCTGTCTCAAAAAATAAATAAATAAATAAATAAATAAATAAATAAATAAATAAATAAAAA